AAGAAAAGCATAACTTTATAAACTTTTTTAAGATCAAATTTTAATGCACAATGAAAAGTACAAAATTTTCCTATCAGTTCAGTATTCGGAAAATTAACGTCTGTCTGTTCTATTTGCAAAGAGTAATCTGTCAACGCTACGCGTTGAAAATAAACTTTAAGTGAACTAGTTCTAATAAATTGGTTAAAAAACGATTTTTAAATACACCCTGTTTTTGAAATGACACATCAAATATCATATTGAATTCTGCGCAGAACAAAATCAGATGATTTTTGAATTCAGAATGGCAGCATTTCTTAGATGGTTCTTAGGAAAATTAAGTCAAAAATGCTTAACAGAAAGATTTAAACGGGCACAAATTGCGCGAGCGCCGAAACGAAACTTTTATTGTTCCGACTTTTGTAACGAAAGTAACGGAATATTTTTGCTCGAGGTGGGTTTTTTTTTCTTCAGAAAAATTTCGACTTTTTAACTAGACATTTTTGACGGAGTTTTTTTTATTATTCGAAAGGTATTGCTGTCCTGAGCTTAAATTTGAAAAGATATATTACCTGTGATTATTTTTGTACAATTATGTGGGTTTAAAGATTGCCATTTTGGCCAATTTGGGACAATTATCGTGCGACCCGCACTCAGTAAAAAGAGAAAATAATCGACTGTATAAAAACTATAATTGTACTTTTAGCAAAAATTTAATCAATTATGAGCGCCAATTTTAGATGTTTAAACGATTTAAAAATAATTATAATGACAACATTTTTGGGGAAACTTTAAAAAATTATAATCAATTATAATTGATTATATTTTTTCCGAAAATCTCTTATAATCTATTATAAAAGATTATATTACCTTATTCTATCAAAATATTATCTGACAGAAAAAAAATCAATTAAAATGGATTATAATTTCAGCTATTCTGCAAAAAATACAGTAAAACCAAAGTTAATTTAAATTTTAGCTATTGAGAGGGGCGGATCTAGGATTTTCTCGAGAGAGGGGGGTAGTGAGATTTTCAAAAAATTTTCAAAATATTTGTCGAATTTTTTTTAGTTTGACTAAATTTTGAAAAAACAGGCCAAAAAAGTAATTGTAGGCATTTTTGGAAAAATTTGACCAAAAAATTGCGTTTTGTCGGCGCGCGCTCCCCCCTCAAAATTGATATATTGGGTCGGCAAGGGGTCTAATCCCTGAAGGTTTTCTGAGTAATAATGGATTATAATCCATTATAATAGATTATAACTCAATGAAAATTGAGAAAAAAAAACTTTCAAAAAGTAATCGATTATAATCGATTTTAATCGATTATATGATTTTTTTGTTTCGAAAAATAGTAACATTAAAATCCATTTGTAATCAATTATAATCAATTGATTTTAAAATTTATGGAGACTGACAATAACAATCCACTATAATCTATTAATTTCTCTTTTTACTGAGTGCGGGGATATATTTCGCGCTATTAACGCGTAAACGGAGATTTAATCTCTCTTAGAAATCGTTTCAAATTGGTTAAAAGAAGCTAATTTGCCATAATTGATTTGCTACTAAGGGAAAAATTTATCACTTTGTAGTTTATATGGCGTGTGGGGGGATAGTTTTCATTAAAAAAACTCAAAATAAAGAAAAATCATTTTATTTTTATTACAATCAATTTTTTAAATGTTATTACTGCTCCATAGACCTTAAAAGGTAGTCGGAACATTCAAAGCTTCGACCTGATACAATCAGTCTTGTTTTATTTTAAAGCGCTCTTCAAATTGAAACTTCCCAATTGACTTTAAGCTCTGTTATTTTATTCCAATTAATAAACGATTGAGCAAATTTAGATTCAATATATTGATTTTCCAACCTCACCTGGAATACTTCACTATCTACGCCGGCAAAAATTTCTGCACCACAGACTTTTTTGTGGTAGTTTCTGAAAATTATTGATCCCATAAATTGCGTTTTTGGCGCTCGCCTCCCTTTCAAATTATCTGTGTTTTGAGGCTGAAGCTGTCTTAGATGACTGTTGGTTTGGTTGGCGTAAACCAAATATGAATATCCTTTAAAGGTGGTAAAACGGCCCGCATCCAGTTTCAAGCGTTAATAATCGATAATATTACGATTTTAGTACCAGTCTCACTAAAATTGAGAAACAATCGACTTTAATCAATTAATAATCGATTATAAATCTCTTTTTTTTCAAGTCAAGTTATAATTAATTATAATCCATTATAATCGATTATTTATTCGTCTATTTTTCGATACAATTATAATCGATTATAATTGATTATAATCCATTATTTTTATTCAAAATTATATTTCGTTAGTTTTTGTCTTCGAAGTTGCATCTAAATTGCTTATATTTTATGCTTTTTGTGGACGTTGGTTCCTATGAAAAATGAGAGAAAATTTTTCAAAATTTTCCAATTAATTCATATTTATAAGTTTTTTTCCCTTTCTTCCCCATTAGAGTTGTTTTGTGATGCATATTTTAAACTTTTATAAACACCAAAACATCAGCAAATTGATTTAGTTTCATGATTGTTCGGAAAAATTATCTTTTATCTACCGCGAGAACCTTTCCAGTCATATGAAAGGATCTCTATGAAACTTTTGTTTCGTGGTAAAACTTTGTGTTCAGATGAACTAAAGTCTTCAAGAGATCTCTCTTTTAGAGATTTTCTTTTTGACACAAAAATAATAACCCATAAGATACAATTCGAAAATAGGAAAATTCCGGCAAAATAAGAGATTATAATCGATTATAACGATTATAATTGATTTTAAGGGTTTTTAGTAAGAACTATAATCAATTATAATCGATTATAACAGATTTTAATCTCTTGGAAAATATCACGATTATAATCAATTATAAATCCCTTAAGGACCTAATTTTGGTAATTATAATCGATTATAATTGTCAAAAAATCATCATAATAATCCGTTATAATCGATTATTTACGCCTAAACTTGGATGCGGGGGGGTAATTCTTGGGTGGTCAAGAAAATGTTTTCCTGAAAAAGAGAACCTTCGTCCCATTTTTGGTTGGCTGATTTTTTGGTACATGTGGAAGCTCTAGAAGTTTTCGAGTGTAAGCTTCAAAAATAATAAAACGAAAACTGAAATTGCTTCTTAAATTTCGAAAATTTTTCAGGTTATCAGCACACCCACACCGAGCGCGTATAGATCAGAGTCGGTTATCTTGTTATGGTATAGTCAGTATTTCTAAAATTACAAATTCATCGATTATGATCCATTAAAAATGGATTAGAATTCTTATATTTTTTAATTTAAGGTAATCCATTATTTTCTATTATAATGGATTTTTTGGAAGATTTTTGTTCAAATTTACTATTTTGTTTTATCATATCTCATTTCCTGCTTAGTGCAGTTGCTACATTTTGCGTTCCATAATTTTTAAAGTTCGTATTTTGTATTATATTTAATTTTCATCTAATTATATAATTTTAACTTTTTTCAATTTTCAATTAACTTTCGTTCAGCTTTCTTAAATGCAAATCAACTTTTCACATGCCGCAATTTTCACATTCCCCATTTTTCACATGCCACAATTGTATAATTTATGCATTTCAAAAATGTTTTATAATCTTGAAATTAACACTTTATAAATTAATTGAGATAAATATTTTGATATGCAATGGGATCATATATTATTTTTGTAATTATGAAAACTTGTTTTAAGCAACAAATTTAGTTAGCCCCGGGTTAACCTCCTTATGCTTATCAAACAATTCCATACAACAAAAATCATAATCATACAAATCCATACATCAAGTGTATGGAGAAAATGCATGTCGTACAATTTTCATACATTTTTGAAAAACAATTTAAAAAAATTACACCATTTCGCCGGTTTTTTGAGAACAGTCGAACAGACTGGTGACAAAAAAAACTGATTTAAAATATTTTTTTGAAAAAAAATGCTTTCCATACAGTTTCCATATATGGAAATTGTATGACTGGCATTTTTTGATGGCGACACAAAAAAATTTTTCAAGTAAATTTGAAAATTTGCCCCAAAAATTTTGTTCGTTTTTTTTTCAACCCCAAATCGAATTTTGTACGCAAACAAACATTTTTCGAAAAAATTTTTTGCATGCAAATTTTATTTTTTGTTTGCATAACGTAGTCTTGGATATACAAAAGTTGGTTTTTTTTCCCGTCTCTGGATAAATTTTTTCAAACAGGCTAAAAATTTTTATTTCTTTTGCATGGCGTGTTTATATATGCCTTGATCAATGTCTAATAATTTGAAAATTCAAAAATTTAAAATAATCATCGCTGAAAAATTTTGCCAACAATTAAAAGTTTGTTACTTCTGTTATATCAAGACAATTCAGGTAGTTTTTTATGTATTGTAAATGCAAGACCGTCCAACCTTTGGTGATTTGAGTAACCAAGGTCTTTGTCACTTGTGTGTTGTATGAGAATTGTATGATAAGCATTTTTGGTCAACCCGGGCCTTTGCTTTCCGTCTACAATGCTAGTTTTGCAAATAAAATTTATTGTTTAAATTCGTTTTGGTTGGTCACGTCTAATTTGCTTATCGTCTAATTTGCTAGCCCCCAAGCGAAAAAAAATATCTTTTGCTTTTTGAGCTCCAGACAACAAAACTTTTTAGATGGTATAACCTTCGAAAAATGAAAATTGTGAATATAACGTAATTTTCTTTGAAAGTCAGCGCAATAAAACTGTAAAAACATGAATCTGTGGAAAACCGAAGCTAGCCACCACCCGGTTGTGCTATATTAGAAACTTAAACTTGGAATCGTAATGGACTAATAGTTGAAAATCGAAGTTTTACTACAGTTTGATGAAGTTTTGAAGAAATTTGAATAACGACCGTGGCGTAATTGTTTCATTCAAATTCCAATAAAACTGTCGGGTAATTTGATTTTGACATGAAAACAATTCAGCCTGATTGGAACTTTTCTTCCCATTGCGCAATCGAAACCGCAAACAAACTTATCCAGTCCTGTATAAAACTCTGTAATTCAAATCAACGGCTTTTTTAATTGATAGTTTAACCAATATGAATATACTCCGTATAAAACGGAATTATTTTCAGCAAGCGCCTATTTGTTGGAAAATTAGACAATTTTGGTTGTATATATCAATTTTTTTGCTCAGGTGTTTCTACTGGCGACGTTCGCAGGTGATAGTCCCATCGTCTGGAAGAAAACCCTCCTGAAGTAGGAGCTAGTTGCAAAGTAGGCGTAGAAATTCATTGAATTATTGAAGACAGCCGGAAACTTCTAAACAACAAGACACAATTTCAATGGTGCGCGCAGAAATTCTACTAAGAGGCGATTATTTAAAAAAATTTACAAAATTTTGCCATCCTAATATTTTTCCCATATTTTTCCCGTTATTTTTCCCATTATTTTACCATCACATAAAAAATTGTGTTCAAATTCACCTGTTTTTGTTTTCATTCGATTTTTAGGAGGCTTATGCGGACCTGATGTTTGGCAAATTGATCATTTTAAGATAAGAATCTTTCCGGGTGCTATTCTCATGCGCGAAAAAACTTGTGTGCGAAAAATCGAAAACAAAATTAGCCAAAAGTCAATTTTCAAAAAGAAGCAGTTGCCATTCAATTAAAAAGAAGTAAGCGAAGAAACAGTTTGCTTTTTTCATTACAAAACCCTTGAAATGTAAAACTTGTCCCAATTTTGCCGTGGTCAATGACAATATTAAAGTTTTGCATATTTCTGCCGTTTTTATATTCGGCCAATCTCAATATTCCAATCTGTGGAAATGTTTACACTCTTTCCAAGTTTTAGATTACTGAAATCTGATTGGCTGATTTATATTTTCGCGCATTCGGACCTTCGCGCATGAGGGATTTCATCAATCTTTCCCATTTTAATAGTAACTATCAATCAATTTCAGAAGCAACTATAATAGAGTCAGTATGTCTATTGAAGCTATAAAGATTTGTGAGATGAATTGAGAAATATGACGATTTGCTAAGCTATTTGCTTTGCTAAAAAGTCCTTTAACCTATGCAAAGCATAAACTTTTGTGCTTTTTGGAGTTTCTGTAGGTATTTCGGATTCATTAAAGAGCAAATGATGTATATTCAGAAATTACCCGTATGTGAAAAGTTTTTTAATCCAAATTGTATATCAAAAGTATTTTTAAAATATTTATCGAAAGTAAATTTGAATTAGCTACAAAATAGGTGAAGAATTGGGCAAAAAACTCAAAAAATCTCAAAAAAACTTATGTACAAATCACTTCAGCTCTTGATTTATACAACTTTTACCGTAATTTACAGATCAACGTGATTGCGTTTTACACCAATTAGTTGCTAGAAAACCAAAAACGTAAACCAAGAACGTTTTTTTAAAAAAAAATTTTTTTTAAAGGCTGCGAAAAGCTAAAAAGTTGTTTTAAGTGCAAAAATTTTTCAAGCTATGTTTATCAGCATCAAGTTATTACTTTGGTTTTTCTCTCACTTTTGGCAAAAATATTCAATCTTTTTGCAGGTATTCTGAAAAAAAATCATAATTGCAGCTTTGATTATTTCGGCGCAGATTTTTTTGATAAACATTCAATTAATTACAATTAAAAAACAGTCATATAAAAAATTTCAGAAAATTATCTGAAACTGATTTACATAAATTTTTAATGCAAAAATCTTTTTTTAGTGAAAACAAAATTAATAATGTTTGGACCACGATGTGGATAAAGTTGGTGTTAGTTGAAGCCAAAATTAGATGACACTAACAAAAGAATTGTAATCACAATAAAACTTTTTCGGTAGTTCTAATGAACTTAACATTGAAATTGTTTTGGTTTTCGATAGTAGTTCGAAACAGTTGAATAAATTTACAGTCAAAAATTTCCTGTAAATATAGTGACAGGAACCCACTATATTTGCTAAGTGAAAGAAATTTCTATTTTTGTGGTTTTCTTATACAGTAGTGATCGGAACCTACTGTAATTTTTAAGCATCAGCTTGCTCCTGTTTTACGAGGATTTTAATCAAGCTGATCTAACTCACTCACTCTAATGTAATTGACGAGGTTGGCTTCACTGGGATTCGAGTCCCTCAAAACTGTGCTGAGACGATTCAGGAACCCAAGTCCACCCAAGCAGAAGAGGAAAGAGACAGACAGCACAATCAAACACACTGTTCTTTCCTTTTCTCTTCTCGACAGTTTGTTATGAGTGTTACGCATTTTGTAGACGATGACCAAATTGACAATCAAGACAGTCACTCCTAACACAGAAAATTTCTTTTTTTTTAATGGGGCGATTTGTCAATCAAGTCAATAGGTGATTCATCATATTCGTCAGACTTGATTAAAAAGTATTTTCTTTTTAAATTTAAAATTCGTCACTGAAAAGTTTAACTCAAATGCTAAAATATTAGATGTATGCTAACAATTTTTTTCCTACATGTGTTCATGTTTACAGTGCTGATTCAAAACTTTAAACGCGTTTTTCTCAAATTGGGTTAAGATTAGACAAAAAGTTTGTTCATTTTAAAATCATGAATAACTTACTCAAACGAACAAAAAAGAAACACCCGACTGCTGTACAAATAGTCCATAATTTTATAATCACAGTATTCGATGCTGAACTTTTCACAAGGCAAACGCATTCGTTCATTTTTGTTTCTTAGAAAAACTGATAATAAAACTCAATGATTTGGCAGTTAGGGCTGAAAAAAAAATAAAAACAGAAACATTTTTCAGTTAAAGTCTCCCAAAAGAAGACTCAAAAATCGAATGCGTGATATTTTCTTCGAAATTTTCTGTGGCCCAACATATTCTAATAAAGTTGGTAATTTAAACTTTTAGCTTGTGAGAGCCCTTGTAGTCAGTTATTTTGAAAAGCTTAACTTCAAATGTTCAAAAAAGTTACCAAGGAAATGTTCACAAAAAGAAAAAACTCCTAAAAAACTCCAAAATTTAATGCATACTAGTCTGAAGAATAACAACTTTCAGGCGAGTTTTTGTCGAATTGAAAGAAATGTTTCAAAATTGTTTTCCACCTCACGACTTAAGAATTCTAATAAAGCTCCCTTTTTGCCCTCATACCAAGTTCTTTTGAGGTAAGTTAAAGTTAGCTATGAAGCCTACCCATTTTTCTGTAATTTAAGCCGAAGATCAGTTTCAGGTCATTCCTAGTCGTAAAATTCCTGTTTTTCTTGAAGTTGTTTTTTATTAATTCCTCTCCTCGGAATAATTGATGCTAATTGCACAGCAACCGATTTTTTCTTCTAGTAATTGTCTAAATTGATCTGAGAATGTCCGATTAGTTAAGGCAACATTTTTTTGTTTTTATTCCTATATGCTTTTCTTTACATAATACCAGGCGTGATGAATCCAGCGACAAAAATGAACTCGTAGTACACTTGAAACTGCCACTCTTCCCGAAGAATAGCCCACTGGTTCATAAACACGTAGTTACAATACATCCCTTCCAAATCATACTCAAAAAATATCGGAATTGTGCCGACGATGTTTAGAATCCATATCAATATAGTAGTTATGACGGCTCTGATTGGCTTTGAGTTTTGCTTGTACCAGATTGGCCGGCAGATTGCAATCATTCTGTCAACTGCAGTGGCCAAAAGAACATAGCCAGCTGAAAACGAAAAGCATTACGTTTAAAAAAGAGCCCAATTATTGTTCATGTAGGATCCAACAATACTCTAAATGATCATAAAATTTTTAAAATTGCATGTGTCACAAAACACATACAATAGCCAGAAAGTATGTTAATTGCAGACAGCGTAAAATTTTAACAGCATCATAGCTTCAAAATTCATTAGTTTCTGTCACGTAAATTTCTAGTATTTTCGAATACCTACTACTTATAGCTGTCAGAAGTTAAACTATTTATTAGCCTTCATAAAAAAATAAGCAAAAGAAGACTTCATTTTAGCGGTGTAAAATTATTTAGATAATTTTCCTGACATGCCAGTTGAATTTATTTTTTTTTCAAATTAAATTATTATCAACTTGTAACCGTGTTGCTTTGTTGTCGTCAATTTATACGTTTTTCCATGATTTTTTATTTAAAAACGTGCAATAAAAGTTAGTTTAAGAAAAATTCAGCTCTTTTTCCGTACCCACAAAAATTTCAAAATTGCAAAATTTTGGACTTCAACTCTTCTGAAAAAAGCCATAATTTTTAGTTCATTTGACTCATCATAAGAATCGAATTTAGTACCAATTTATTAATTTATTAGTGTAGTGATATAAGGTTGTTGCGAAACAAAACATCCTAGACCAAGTGTTACATCCTGGGTATAAAAATTAAAAATTACTAGGGCCATGTAAAAATCAGGACAAAAAGGTTCCCAATAATTTAAGATCAAAGACACCTTGGTAAAGTTTTGAGTTAAATATGCTGGCTATTACTGCGGTTTTTTTAGATGTCTATTTTTTGACTTTTCACCTGAAAGAAGTTTTTCATACCATCTAATAAGCGAAACTTATTCCTTGACATAACAAAATGCTTGCAACAAAAAAATTGGGTTTGCATAAGTCACGAACTTTTGTTGAATATGGAAAGTTGTTGAAAATAACGTTTTCTTTATTATATATATGACTAAAAGTTGGGCTCTTTTCCACTCCCCCATATTTTATTTTCAGTTTTACAAATATTTTTTTGACATTGTTATAAGGAATGAAAATTTGCATGGTGAACAAATTAACAGTAATGTCCCAAAGGGAAAATTAACAGTAATGTCCCAAAGCGCATAACTCTCAAATGGCATGAAAAGAAGCTTTTCCTTAATGGCATAAATTTTAAGTTTGCATTATAATTCAAATGTTTTCTATCAATTCCTAATTCTAATTGTTTTTCAGCAACGAAAATATGTGAACAAGATTTGGATTTGATTACTTCCAAACAAATGTTAATCAACATTTTCGTCGGAAAAATTGACCACAAGAAGCTTATCAAGAACCGCAAGCCTATCTTTTTCCCTTTTGACAATTCTCGAGTTTTTTCAAGATCGAATAACAATCAACATTTGAATTGACCGATCGACTATTTTTCTCACATGGTTCACGAAAAAGAAAGCGTTTCTCGGTTTTTTAATGCAACTGATGCATGAAATTTAAACCATCTGGGAAACTTTTCATTTTTATTCCATTTGAGAATTATGCCATTTGAGACGTAATCAAATTAACTATTGCAAACAAAATTTTCCATCATAAATTTTAGCGTTACATTACGCATTCACCCATAACAAGACGTAAAATAAGTAGGAAAATGAAAATTTGAAAAGTGGGGGCGGCGGATATGGAAAAAAACAAAAAGTTGATGTAGTGTGACAGTAACAAAAGTATGTTTTGGCGGATCCTTCAGATTATTAGTGCATTGATTTACCGATATTCAATCAGGCTTTGGTTTCAAGTTTCAAAAAAAAACTGTTTTTTTTTTCTTTTCGTTTACAAAACCAAAAGATTTTGGTTTAAATTGATTATTTATAGCAGAAAAAATTGATTATAAGCCATGAAAAAAGGATTTTATATTTCAAATGTACAGTGATAATTGATTCTTTTGTGCAAAATTTTTCTGCAAAAATCTTTTATCGACAATTTTTTTGATTAAATTTCAGTACGGGCCGTTTCCGATAATTTGCACGATTTTGCTTGTTTCAGCTCATTTTTGAGTGATGTTTGAGCTGATTTAACTCGCCTCCTTCGCACAAAACTTATACAGATCGTTTTCACAATAACCCCCCCCCCCCCCCTCAACAAAGGGGCTAATTGTTAAGATGATTAAGTAAGTCATATTGTCAATCAATCAGAATTCAGCAAAACTTGAATTATCAAAGAACGCTCCAGTGCTAATATACTCAATATATTTATAGGGGTGAAAATTTTTTAGCAGATGCCGTAATTGCATCTAGTAAAAGGGGCATTAATAAGCAAATCCAATCAATCACTTAAGCAGTTTTTACTGCTATTTAGATTTTTGATAAATTTAAACAAAGTGATGAAAAGCGCTTGAAAACATTATTTGTTTAATTAGTCAGAATGATTAAAATTAGTTGTAAGTTACATATTGGATATCATTCAGTGACGTGTTTTTAATTCGTTTAGGAAAAAGACCTCAATAAATTTTCTGCTCACCCGAAACAGTTGAAGCATAGGTGAAGAAGCCCAGCCACCGACACAACAGAGGGTGATATTTGAAGATGTCGTATCCGATTAAATGCAAAGTAGACTCCAGCACTCCATCTTGCACACCTGAATGGCGTGAACATATTGGTATGGCCAATTCACCATTTTTTTTTACTGGTTCGCGCACAGAAACTGAATTTCAATATACATATAATGTTTTTTTTCTAATTCAATATCGAAACTGACCTTTCTCTTTTAAAAACAACAAACCACACTTTTTGTTGAAATTTTGATATATAGAATTGCATTCAAAACTCAACACGAACATTGTTCCAAAAGAATAATTATACGTGAGGTAATTAAAACACGTTAAGATAATTTTTGGTTTATTGTTTTTTCCACAAGCAAGAGACTATTGATGTTTTTTTATTTCCATACATGCAAGAACAGTAGCCGGCTGCTCTGGGGTTAGACAAAAAAACTTTTTCCTTTTCTACAACTTATTTGAACACGCTACGATTTTTTTGTCTTGTCCAATTTGAATAACGTGTTTGCTCGGCTGATATCTGTGATAACCTCAAAAATCTACATGCTTCAGCGCAAAAACATGAACTTTCAGTTAAGTTAGGAAAGTCAACGGATTTACGTTCTCTGAATTTTCTGTGCTTTTATCGGCTCAAAATTATTGTACTTTAGGGAAAATTTCATCACAAAAATACCAACCTGCAATCATGTCACTGACAGCCAGACATTTGATGAAGGTCTGTCCGGAGGAGTTCTGGGTGAACCGCGAGGCAGTCATGTACGCGAAGACGTTTCCAGGGATGCCCAGTATTATGGTGAAACATGTTATAGCTCCAAATATCTTAAAACAAACTTTTTTCAAATTCGTTTTCTACTTGCCAAAAAACTAATAAAATTTCGCCCCTATTCGTAACTTTAGGGTTTTCAAGCATAACTTTTATGTTGATTTCTTTGTCAGTTTATGCCTTATTCTAACTATCAAGTTTTCGGCTTGTTCGGTTTGTTCTGCAATTCTTCAACTTCAGCTCACAAATCAAGAAATTTTTCAATGGCGCGTTTCAAAAGCGCATTTACAATAAGTTTTTTTTGGACAGGGGGAATAAAAAATTTGATAGCACATTTCAATTTATAATTTATGGTATCAAAACTATGATGCAATTATATTGCCACATAAAAGAGTTCTGACTGCTTGCTAAAAGTTTAATTCAACAGATAATGATTTATAATTGCTGAATTTGGCAAAAAAGTTATTTCTGTTATCACAAAGAGGGAAGAGGGCTAGTCAATGAGATACGTTCCATTGTATTCTAATTTGTTTCTGTTTTCTACTATTTTTATTTTTTTTCTATTACAAAAATAAATTTCCGTCATCTGATGAAATTATAGTAACCAGAAAAGAAAAAAAAACGATACCTTTATTGTCGTCTGGTATCCAAATTCTTCCATCAGTTCCGTCGCAGTCATTTCTGAGTTTGTATCGTTCACTTCTATCGAATACATATCGGTGCTCTACGACAAAAATTTATTTGAAATTTATTTGATTATCAACGAGTTAGTTATTTTCAAAAAGTGAATATCTCGTTTCCATATTCAGAAAGTTGTATTTTTTTTCTCAATCTTGAGCAGATAAATCTCCAATTGCGATTGTTTTTCCAACTTTACAGGGGGGGGGGGGGTTTGATTGTAAAAAAAAAACACGAATTGTTTTTGATAGGAATTGCTTTTTTGTTAGCTGATTTTTTATTTCAACGCGAGAACGAAAAAATTGTCATTTTATATATTACTTGATCGCATATTGCCATTGTTTTTTGCGTTAAGTTTTCACAAAAACGCATAATTGGGTTTAAATTTATGGTGTTAGAGGATGATTTGGAACAATCAAAGTCTCGAGCAGAGTGAAGGGCGAGTTTTCTCAAATGAGTTTATCTCTCTTTGAATAAATTGTTTCTCCGAGCTGACTCACGTCTCTAAGTGAAGGCGGCTTATTATTTTGCCAACAGTTTCTGGGCCAGGCCAAAGAGACGTTTTAGGGCAATCTTTGGATGAATGTTCCAAAAGAATTAAGTTTCTTTTTCAGCTCACCTCAAATAAAACTCATCAAAAAATGTCAAAATATTACTCACTTTTGCTGTTTTTGCCGTTTCCAGATAATCAGAGTAGTTTTTTTGGAGTTTAAACCCGTTTTTTACCCTCTCAGGATTTGAATTATTTCAAGTTGAAATGAAATAACCACAAAATGGAGGCAAGAATTTCCTTTTTTGTCCAATTTCTGTAGTTTTTTGTGTCTGATGAGAGTTTTGAAGGAAACATTAAATATAATGAGATCACCTGGGTGCCCTCACTAATTGACAGTGAAATATTTCACATCTAAATAAACTGGAAATGGCGAAAAACTGATCAAACCGTTTTTAAACATCAAAACTGGACCCAAGTTGAAGGGTAATTTGGTAAGAAATGACTGCTGTTGTCGTTTTGAGAAAAAAAATAACAAAAAAAAACAAAAAGTATGTCGCTAAGGAAGAATGGTATTGTTTTGACTAATAAAAGATGTCAAAATTAAATCCACTTTTGCAGCTAAAATAACTGTTGTTTGAGCTAGATGCTTCTTTCACTTTTGTTTTTCTCGGAAGTCGGGTAGAAATTTATTTCATTAAAACTTGATATCTTGTTTGCTCAATAGGAAGAAATTTTCAATTGAATTTTTTATCATCCGCATTTGAATTGCCTTCTTTGTTTTCCTAACTCAGGAATTAGCCATGCAAAAATTGTTGCTGGAAGTCTAAAGTTTCGCAGTTTTTCAATTGGACGGATCGGATGAAATAAATTGACAAATGGTTTTCAGCGAGTTTTAGGGTTCTTCTTATTTACGCTAAGGTTCCCGATGGTTTGAGTTCCCGAGCTAAAAACAATAGTGATATATAATATATATATAGGCAACTATTACATAATAGTAATGTGTCAATTATGTAACAGTCACAAAAACCTTGCATATTTCGTTCAAATGAGGTAACTTTTGGCTGGTTACTCATTTTAAAAACGCATTTCTGGCGGAGAGTTTAGTTAAATTTTTTTCATTTTTTTGAAATCATTTAAAAACTATGAAAACAGGGAGATTCAATTTAGAAAAAAATTGTTCATTGCGTGAAGTTCGACTTTAAGTGATGCTTATAGAAAAAAAGTAGACTCTTGAATTTTGAATAAAAGCTGTGCTGGGCGGTATTCTAAAAATTTTTTGCCAAACTTTTTCAGTTTGACATGGTTGTTGAATAATTATGAAGTAGTTCACGTACCTTTTTTCTATGCTTTTCACAAACATCAAATCTTTACACCATTCTTTGGAAACGGTTTCTGCTTTTTGCGAATCATTTGTTTCAAGGTTTTAAAAAAATATTGCTTTATCTTGGCGAGTAGTCCCTTAAAAAATTGAACGTTTTAGAATTCAAGGCACCATTGTAACAGTTTTTGACACAAGTTGGATGTAGTAAAACAGTGCCAACTGGGAAGAACTATCGCAAGACTATTCGTATATCAAGGAAAAGCCCTGCAAAACTCTACCGATATGATTTTTCTCGAATAAATCTCCAAAAATTAAAGCTAGTTCGTGAATTTCATTTGTATGACAGAATAAGTATGACCAATTTGGTTCGCCTCAAATGTTGAAAAAGTAGTTTTGGGAGTTTTAGTCATGTCACTTACAAACAAACACCCTCAATGATTTTTTTTTGTTTTTTTTAGCTTTATTTTCAAAATTTCACCTGGTATGCTTGATTAAAAATGTTTTTAATTAATTTTTAGTTTAATAGCTTGGAACTAACAATTTATTATGGTTGATGGTTTTCAATATGATTATGAATGTAAAAATTTTAGAAACGATTATGATAAATATTTTTACTTATGGCGAGGAAGATAGAGTTAATTGAAAAACTGATAATTTTGCCGATTAATTTTGACGTACCAGGCTGACACTGTGAGTGAATCCCGAAACAATTTCACGCAATTTGATTTTTTTTGACGTAACGCGAATTTTCAAAGCTTAGTTTCAAATTCTAAATGAAAAGTAATTGCCCCCTTTGTCAGGATCTTTTAACTCCCAGTCAAAAATGGGAAGGTAACAAAAAATTTTTGATAGGATCAATTTGTCAGCGATTTCAACTTTAAAACAACTTAATGCTTTTTTGAATGAATCCGTTGATTTTTTGAGCGTTTTCTTTTCTAGTTCCTATTTCTCCAAAGCTAATTGTGGGAGATTATCTTATCTTTTTAAACAATATAAAAAAAACATGACGTATATCAGGCAAAAATTTTAAAAGATCCGACCACCCCATTTGAACTCGAATAAGTTTTGCTAGATACCATTTCGATTAATTATACACGTTTGTTGCCAATATTGAAAAATGAGTACTGTTTTAAGATGTATGACAGAATTATTATGTCCTCAATTCAACTTGAAACGTTTTTTATTGCGGGATACTTGCCATGCATAGATAATTTGGGTATTTCGCTTTTTTTAATGTAAAAAAGTATATCATTATAATTTAATGTAAAAAAAAAATCCTTATAACACGGTAGAGCCTTCAATGCCTATTGGATAAATTAAATTCTTGAAAACCTCAAAAATTGATGGAGACCCAACAAAAAATGAAAAAAAAGCGATCTTTTGAAGAAACTTTCCGTTGAATTATTTCCCCATTATGTAGTTCACTTCTATGTTAAGTACAAAATTTTGTAGCTTGCGCCTAGCAAAGTTTTGATAGTTCCAAACATCTTGTCTCAAGTTAATTGAAACTGGAACAAATTCTGAACTGGTTTAATTTGCCTTTCGCTATAATGACTTACGCTATAATAGAAAGAAACCAACTGCGTATATTTTTCCCAAGTTAGCCGAATTGGCAACTTTGCCATTTTATAAAAATTGACCACATGTGAAAATATATTTTAAATATGATCTCATGTTAACAACACCGAGTGGATGATGTATTTTAACCGCATCAACTCTACTGCAAGCAAATCCACCTGAGAACCTGATGATTAAAGTAACAATTCTCAAACTCTCAAACAATTCTTTTTAAAAAAAGGTCTCAGTAAAAAAATCAAATATAATCATCTTTTTATCTTTCCCGGGTTGACCAAAATTGCTGGTCATACAATTTTCATATATGGAAAAATGCTAATCAAACAGTTTTCATGCAATTCCATAAGTACAGAAAATTGCATGAAAGATCTATGATTGGTATTTTTTCATATATGGAAATTGTATGACTAGCATTTTTCCATAAGCCAAAAATATTGATTTTTTACATTTTAATTTCTCAAAATTTTTTGGTAATGTTCGTAACCGAACACAAATGACATAAAAATTGGTTACTCAAACGTAGTAACCACAGGTTTGGCCGTCTCGCATTGATAATGCATTGGAAACAGCCTGAAATGTTTCAATTTTGTCTCACACAAATAATATAACGAAAGTAACGAACTTTTAAATTTTAGTAAACATTTTCAAAAATGATTTTCTAAAATTTGAATTTTTAAATTACCAGACATTGATCAAGAACAAAAAAATTGTCATTTTATTTATTACTTGATCGCATATTGCCATTTTGTTTTGCGTTAAGTTTTCACAAAAACGCATAATTGGGTTTAAATTTAATTTATGGTGTTAGAGGATGATTTGGAACAATCAAAGTTTCGAGTCGAGTGAACGGCGAATTTTCTCAAATGAGTTTCTCTTTCTTTGACCAAATTGTTTCTCCGAGCTGACCCACGTCTCTAAGTGAAGGCGACTTATTTTGCCAACAGTTTCTGGGCCAGGCCAAAGAGACGTTTTAGGGCAATCTTTGGATGATTGTTTCAAAAAAAAATAAGTTTCTTTTTCAGCTCGCCTCAAATAAAATTCATCAAAAAATGTCGAAATATTAATCACTATTGCTGTTTTTGCCCGTATACAGATAATCAGAGTAGTTTTTTTTTAATTTAAACCCGTTTTTTACCCCCTCAGGATTTGAATTATTTCAAGTTGAAATGAAATAACCACAAAAATTTTTTTACGTTTTTTTACCCTCTTAGGATTTGAATTATACTTAAGTTGAATTGAATTAGCCACAAAATGGAGGCAAGATTTACCTTTTTTGTCCAATTTCTGTAGTTTTTTGTGTCTGATGAGAGTTTTCAAGGAAATATTAAATATAATGAGATCACCTGGTTGCCCTCACTAATTGACAGTGAATTATTTCACATCTAAATAAACTGGAAATGGCAAAAAAAATGATCAAACCGTTTTTTAATATCAAAACTGGACCCAAGTTGAAGGGTAATTTGGTAAGAATTGACTGCTGATGTCGTTTTGAGAAAAAAAAAATAACAAAAAAAAACAAAAAGTATGTCGCTAAGGAAGAATGGTGTTGTTTTGACTAAAAGATGTCAAAATTAAATCCACTTTGCAGCTAAAATAACTTTTGTTTGAGCCAGATGCTTCTTTCACTTTTGTTTTTCTCGGAAGTCGGTTAGAAATT